TGGCTACATAATCTCTATGAAATCCTGCTGGTTACATGTGCAAGGACATTTAATCGAGCTCGAACATACAGGAATAATTCGTAAAAACTATTTCTGGTATTAGAAGTTAACATGCTTGCATTATAAATAAGTTTGTATCTTTAATTGTTATTATGAAAATATTTACAAATTAATTATAGAACTTAAAGCCTCATCGTTAGACAGCGCTGTAAGCCCTCAACTTTAAGAATTATAAATTAGTTAAGTTGTAGAATCAGCTGCAAGTCCGCCCTATAATATAGTGCTTATAAATTTGATCTGATGTGACTAAATAGAGACAACATTAAGTCCAGCAGCTTCAAAAGGCAGATACCCTGAAATTAACTTATCTTTAAAGCTGTCAACAGATAATTACATTTCATATAACACGCTAGCCAGTATGACTTCAAAACGTAGACATGTGCATCAGCTGTCTGAACGCTAAAGATACAAAAATATCTTGTTAACGTTACAACTCAATGTTGTTGACTTGCCAACTGTTCGAGTATGCCCAAGTACGAAACCGCAAGTCTCCCTTGCTCAACAATTTCAATTTAAGCAATAAGAAAATCATTAAAACTATCAGAAGCCAAGACAGCAATTATGCTTATGATTACAATTCAGAGTCTGCTTAAAAACAATTGACATTAGCAATTGGAGAGCTTAGTTGATAATTATATATATATATATGTGGCAAGCCACAGCCGCATCTAGGCACAAAAAGAGGCAATCGCCTGTTCTCGTTTCTCATTTACTCTCTTTGAATAAAATGAAAAATAACGTAGACCTCATCCTAGTAATGTAAGCAGTTGAGTCCAGCTGTCCAGTTGACCGCAAAATATGCCAAGTCAATTTAATGCCAGCGGCAATGCATTGAAATCGAAAAGTGAAGCGTATTGAATGCCAAATTGAAATTAAATTGAAATTTGATTGGACTTGGACCCGCAACCGAAGCAGTCGACCCGAAGGTTAGCCTAAGGGGCTGTTCACAAAATTGTTGCAATTAAATAAACATAAAATGTCAGCGACTTGGAAAATAATGCCGATAACTTAAACACGGTTTTCGGATCCGGATGGCCGGGCCACTGAACCATATGCGAGTCGAGCCGAGCCGCGCCGGCCGGGCCGTGCCGAGTCCGCTACCCGCTACAGTTTGGGAATGCTTGCGGTCTTTTTAAACAAACCGCAGGTGTTGCATACATTGGCCAGCTTTGCATTAATTATGATGTTTTGTGCAGTGCGGCACTGGCAGAGCTTGCAGGACTCGCAGGTCGTGCCAACTATTTGCAATATAAGCCAGCATTTTGTCGTAGTATGGCTGAAGTGTACCATACTTACGGACTAAAGCAATTTTATTGCCATGCACAGGAAGCTGCACAGACGACAGCAGCGTCGTCACTGTGCTCTGCTGGAGTCATGGGAGCATGCATCTTGTGTGACCCGTAACTTTACAGTTTCTTTGCTTATACTTCAGCCAACTATGGCTTATGGTTATTGTTTTCAATGTTGTTGCTGTGGCAAATTTGTTGCTGTTATTATTTTAGTTGACTGCTCAACTAGTTTTCGTACTCAAAAGGTATCAGGGGGCACGAGCGAGAAATGGCCACATAAAATCTTATTGTAAAAAAAGAAACTATTAAATTTCTCTAGGGATGAAAATATGATTAAAATCGATTTATTAAAAGCCATCGTCGTTGTCGTTGCTGTAGCAAAAAGGTTCTGCATCAATATACACAACATATGTTGCCAAAAACTTTATGCCACATATAGGCAAAAGGTTCCTCCAAACTACTCATTAAACAGCTAAGATGTAACTGCTGGCGAGGTGAGCACAGTGGTTAGTAAATATTTCATGCGGAATACTTATTATGGCTTCAGGCAACTCAACTGAATGAAAGATGTGGCTATGTAAAGACTAAAGAGAATTACAAGCAGCCTTTCGACTGTGCATTTGTAAATCCTTCAGGGCAAACAATTTTATATTTATATAAAAACATAAGGCTTAGAGGATCGCTTCATAGATCAAGCAAACCTTGTAGAATCTATCAACTTTCTTTCATCTAACATTTCTTCTAACCATTTCCATTATCTGAAACCTAACTCGTTTTTGCAAACTTAGATCGCAATCTTAGAGTTGATGTATTCATAAAATACAATTCTCAAAGAGTAAGGCATATAAAACAGTTGGCAATTACTGTCCACTGTGCACAGTTGTTGTTCATCTACCTTTGCCTTCTGCTAACTCACTGTTAGAATAACTTGAAAAACAAATTTACTATGTACACTTAATGTCTAGACAAAGCCTCCAATTACCTTATCCGATTACACGAAGATTTTCGCAGGCAACCCAATGTAACCCGTTGACCCGGCATGCCTCGTATTACTCTCTGGTCCCTTTGGGCCCATCTCACATCGTCGGCGTTCTCGTTGACGTCATCAAAAATGTTTCAAATTATTTTCTGCAAAAGTAATAGTCTCAAACCGGGGACATACCAAATATACAAAAGGAGTAAAAGGCACTTAAGTGCCTTGGTCAGGCCTTGGATTTTCAAATGAAGTGCTCCACCGATCGCGTTCTCTCTTCGCTATTTCCGGTATTGTTTTCATTGTCCCATTTCGCCTCCTCGCCCCTTCCTTGCCCAGTTCTTTCTGCAAACAGGTGTAAGGTTAAATCAAAAAATGAAATTAAAATAAACCAAAAACTGCGTAAGGCAAACGTAATGAAGTGGCCAACATGAAAAAGGATTTTCCTCCTGTCTTTTTTCCGTTCCTCCCTGCATTTTGGGCTAAAAACGTTGTGCATAATTAGCTTAGTACATGCCGCTTTTTTCTTTTGAAGAAAAAATTAGTTGAAATATTCATAAGCAGAGGGTAGACCCTTCAAAATTTTTATTATCGTGCCATATAAAAGGAAAATAAACAGAGACACGGAGAAACAGCGATGCATATTCTGCCCTATTGCAATATAATTTATTTAAAATCTTATTTACGAAGCGGGAATTGACATAGAGTTAACAAAAAGTATGTCGAGGCACATGAAAAATCATTTTTTTGAATGCTTAAAATTACTTTTTTATGCGAAAGTCAAATTGTAAAATATCAAAGTCAATTTTCAGATCACACATACATATATCATATATCTTATATAGATATAAGAAATGAAGTCTTTTAGTTTATGCTGAAATCATTTCAATTTGCCACCAGCCGCTGCTGCTGGGTGTAAAGCTTAGAGCAGGAAAAGTGTTCTGATCTGATTACTGCATTAAGCCTCAATGGCAGCGCCTTTACAGATTAGAAGATGTAAAGCGCTTGAAGTGCTTTGGGGATAATGTAACAGCAAAGAATATATAAAGATGTCTGTGCTTACCAGGGCCAAGATCAAGATCTGACATCAAGCTTTGGTAGTTGTTCCCATTAAGCTCGAACTGACATCCATTTGTAACTTATAGAAATTGCTGCTTGCCTTAACATTAATCTGATAAGGAGTCTATATTCTACAGATAAACCTGAAAATGATATGGTAACAAGTCTTCCGTTCTAATTGATTGCAATTTATAAAATCAATCGAAATCCTCCATTAGTCGATGGCCAAATTTTGTGAAGATTTCAATTTTGAAATTAGCATTTTTTAAAGCAAGGCACAAATATTTCAGCCGATTCGTCTTGAAGTTCAAAAAATTAGCTAAACAAATGATGCAAGAGAAACCAAAATGCCAGGCACATTCTCGACGACTGTCGGGCAATTAAACGACGCCCAACCACGCGCGCGCCCATCTCCCTCAGGCTCTGAGCCAGTGCACGCAGCGAAGCAAACGGAAAATTCATTACAAACAAATTAACAAATAAATCAAATTTCAATACGAAAATTTGTGTTTGCGAAAACAATTTTGAGTGGGGTTCCGGAAGCTGTGCGTATGGAGGGTATCACAAATCGCATGCCACGCCCAAACGCTTCGCACAACCCAGAAAAATAGCGATGGGGCACAACTGACAGCCGGCAAATCGTCTAAAACTGTAGCCGTAGACGTTGCTGTAGCTGAAGCTTTCCACTTGAGAAATCATTTGTCTAAATTAATTCCTGTCGTTTACATTTGCCAGAACAGAACAGCAAGAGAAATCAAAGATTAAGACAAACATTTACTACTACTTCTCTGACCCACCACCGAAATTGGCAGGCAGTTGCCATGCCTTGGAGCTGTCTAACTCTAAACTGTAAATATTATGCTGCCGCTGCTGCCTCTGCTGCTGCTGTTGTTGCCTCACGCCTTTCCTTGCCCATGATAAATGACATGATGCGCATTTGTTGGATCAACGTCGCCGCCGACGTCGTAGTCGTCGCGTTAATAACTCATTTGAAAATTCCGCCGACAACGTTGCATACGTACATTTTTGCCCAAAAAACAATTAAAATTTTTTGGCCGGGTTGAGTTTCAGGTAGCGCATAATTATAACTCCTATATCCTACATAGTATGATATCAAAACGCGTAACAGCGCTTCAACCCTTTTTACAGCTCCAGCTGACATGAGAAACTCGAACTCGAACTCAAACTCGAACGCGAACTCGAACGCCAACTCGAGCACGACCTCGAGCTGTTTCTGTTGCAGCTTGATTGGGAACTCACATTGTCACGTGGAAGTCACGCTGGCAGCAAAAATTAGCGTAGTAGTTGAGTGTGAGCCAGCTCTTCTCAATAATTATTCTGTCACGAACAGAGATTATATAAATAAGGCATTCGACAGTCCATCTGGAGTCTAGGCAACTATTTGATGCAGAAAATGAATGCAAACGATTTAATAAAAAGCAAAAGAAAGATAATATAAGCTAAAGCAATTTATTTTTAAATTTAACTACATATTTCAAATATTTAAATGCAACTAAATGGGTGCATATTATTCATCTACAACTTGTATATTTTCCGATTCCTGATCAATGTGTTTTCTTTCATTTCTGCAACAATCTGTATACGCAGCTCCCTGGCTGTCACTTAACACCTTTTACATGTTTCACATTGACCAAATCGCTAAAAACATTTTCTAGAAAGTCTGGGGACTTGCGAGCATAGGCAACAATTAGTTTATAAGGTGATATGAAGCGCTCTTGCGAATGCCCAGCATTGCAAGTCGCATCCTGCTTGAGGTTCATGGAAACGACAACGTCAACAAAATCATTTAGGAACTCTTCGTGCAGAGACGTTGGAATGCGCTCCAGAAAAGGACAGATGGCCTTGACATTATCTAAGAAAAGAATGAATTAAAAACTTATTTGAAAGGAAAGTAGTTAAATAAACTCACCTTTCAAGGTCTGAACGCCTTCGTACACAAAGACTTCGCTGCGTAGCTCCACATTTTTATAAACAAAACCAGCTTCGTTGAGGAGGTCTTCGAACTGCTTGACGGGATCAGAGCTATAATGCAAGGGTGAAATGAACTGATCCACGTCTTGCATATAGCACGCCCATTTGGCACTGCTTTGCAGCACTTTGTACACTTCATAGACGGGATTCGTGGCCAGGAACACAAGTAAACTGTCGCCTCCTTCGTTACGCAGCAGGTTGTAAATGTTACGCAGGGCAGCTCGTAGATTCTGCACCCAATGCAGACAGTAGAATGATGTCACGTGATCGAATCGACCCTTGAGCTGTTCAGGTAGCTCCTCGCAGCCAATGTCGAGCACTTGAAACTGCGTGCGAGCGTAGCGCTCGTAGCACTTGTTGGCATAGCCCACCATTTGCATTGAGACATCGGTGCCCACCAGCTGCTTGAAACTCTTCGGCAGCAGCGGATGCACAAAATCCATGAGCACATTTCCTGGTCCCGAGCCAACATCCAATAGACTGTCTTGTCCATCGGAGCGCCACTGCAGTATTGACGCGTATTCGCTCAGTATGAGCTTGGCATCGTGGCGCTGCACCTCGTTGGCGCGCTGATAGAGCGAGGCCAGGTTCATTGCGCTCACTGATATCGGAAGCATGAATCCAGCGCTTATATAGCCAGATGCTTAGATGCTTAGAGAGAATAGACAGTGCCGCCAGCTTTGCTGACATTGGCCCTCAATCTGAATTTATTTTTAAAGCTTCCAGTACTGTATGCTTCACGCATCTTTTTCCTCGTTTTAAAATAGTTACAAATTTCAGAAAATTATTATTGAGCTCCTAAAAAATATGGAGAGGTTTCAATATTAGATTACAAAAACTCTATAAGCACAACTCTTCTCAGTCACATAAAGTTTATATATATAAGTTCCCAATTTGCATGTTTACAGGGTATACAATGTCGACATACCCACATTCAACACATATTTTGTACATATCTCTAGACAACACACAAAAGCGTTAGTGACCTCGCTAAGACTTGGACAAAGTAGATCAAGTTCTAGGTCATATTGGATAAGCAACGCTTCCTCACCAAAGCCACGTAACAGCCCATTGAAATGTAAATCGGCGCACGCGTTTTTCAATACTTTTACTGAATAAATGAATAATTATAATCAATAGCAAAATATCAAAAATGTGTATACAGAAGATGCATTATATTACAATATATTTGGCCGAAGAGAACCAGCTGTAAATCCAATTCATAGTAAGGATTTAGTATCGCCTGCTTAATCCTATTCTAGCCACTGAGCACGATCAATGTCTGTTCCTCCGTCGGTCCACAGATCGTACTCAAAAAGAGAGCAAATTATAAATATTTCATTTTCTATGATGCCTCCCACAGTTGCACGCTTCAATTAGGACAGTTTTTAGTTTTTATATTTCAATGAAAAGTATCTATAGCTGCTATAGCAAACGCAGATTAAAATAAGTTCTAATGTGCATTAGCCTCCCACGGTTTGCTCAAAAAAGATTTAAAAGAAACATTGTCTAATCTATTCATGCAGTCAACTAAATACCCTTTAGCAAATGACTAGACTTTTATTTTGGTTTAAATATTTTTAATTATAGTAAAGTTTAAAAAAAATTAAACTTTTTCAATACCAGAACTGCATTTTTGAATATATGGAATATAGCAAACATGACTGAATTGTCGATTCCAATAAGGAAACATATATACCCGACATACACAACAACTTGGTGACAAAATGAAGAGTGAAGAGAAGAAATGGATTTTAAGACGCAATCGGCTTTTGTATTTCTATGCCATGTGCTCACGACTATTCTTAGTCGAAGCTGAACGAATCAATGCAGTTCAATCACCTACGTTAAGGCAGGTACCGCGTCCCGTTCTATTTTAGGATGTACAGCAAACATAGAGAATTATATTTCATAGGGAATAAAATGATTTCAGTTCGGCTTTGCACCCCATTTCTGACGCTGAAAATATAAATTCATTAAGAACATTCCATTTTGCTCTAAATGCATTAGTATAATTACTGACGAGCTCCACGTACTGCGGGATATGCTCATCTGACTGCAAATATGTCACATATGATGACAAGGACTGCGTTTGATGTATACTTTGTGCTCAAGAGTTGAGCGAATTCTGCGTTCCATGGCATTTTTTGGTCTTGCACTGTGACATCAAAAAGGCTTTGTTTTCCCAATTATGGCATACCTTGCGCTGCTTAATGTGTGGGCGTCACAGCTAGTTAATTGTATTTACGGCAATCCTGGCCCAAATGTGTTCACATGCAAAAGGGGTTTGATGGAACTTTGCTCTTTAGGCTGCTAAACTGGAATTTGCCTGAGCTGTTGATTGGTTGCTGAGGGTTGCTTATCCGGAGATCAGTTTAACTGTATTACTTTTTAGAAGCTGTGTAATTCAATTGGAAAAGCTGTCGATATTTATCAAGATGAAAATCAGTTTACAGAAAACATTTGACTAAGCAAAACCTTTGAAGAGCTTAGTCTAATCTCTCGCTGGTCAAATTTCGATAGTTTATTATTAATACATATTTTGAATATGTTCTAAACTCTTGGCTTAGCTTACGTCTCAAGTAAATCAATCAAAATAGAACGACTATACCAGACGCACATCCGTGCAAGCCAATTATTTTTGGGGTCATTCCAAGCAAGGGATGCATATCTGGTGTAAGGCTCAAATTATTTTGCTGAATGAATGTTTGCTCAAAACTTTAGGACAAGGTACAGTATGCTCACTCTATGCACGGACGTAGGTCTGTAAACAAAACAAGAAATGTATTTGCAAAGGGGTTGAGTTTTCGTATGTGGTTCATAGTTGGATGTGAATAAACGAGATTTTAATGTTCCATGGGGGAATTCCACTTATATACGCAGACACGGAGGAAGAAGACGGAGAGAAGTCGTGGATTTCAAATACAAAGTCTATGCTGATTTGCTGATATTGATTAGTGTGAACTTGCCGTAAGGGTAACAAACGAAATCTCCAAGTCGAGCTGGAAACGTAAGGCGCGTGTCTTGGGAGAGGCAGCCACAACTTGACGAGTATTTAAAAGTTTCCCATTGTCTGTCTGATGAATATTTAATTAAGCGTAAGAGAGCAACACGTTTGAGACTAAAGCTGGAAGATAAAACTCCAGCTCTGCCTTTGGCTGGGGCACAAATGAAACAAAGTCAAATCAAACAAATTATTTTTATTTGTTTTTTTTCTGATACATCCGAAGAAGATGTTCATGGTATCTTCTTGCTTACCGCAAACTTATTGAAATGTAGATTACGGTTATAGAAAAGTTGTTCTCATATCAAAAAGTATTCGATGAGGGCGCCGCCATGTGCTTCTGGAAGAGCTTCATCTTCTATGGCTTTGCAGCAAGCCTCTACCCCATATTTCCACCAATTGAAGGAACAGCTGAGCGAATTGTTTAAATACATTGTACGAAAAATTTAATTACATTTCATTTCGTAGGATTAAAGAAAAGTTTGTGGCCGACAGAATATTGCATCTTGAATATTTATATCTTATGAAAAAAATTAATGTTTCTTTTGCTGTTCATTAAAAAATGATTATAAATTTTATAATTTGAAATGAACGACTAGCAACTGCTCTAAACAAGGAGCAGATCTGCTGAAACCTATACAGAAATAAGCATAAGCAACCCGAGCCGGCATGGACTGACAGACAGACGAACGACACAACTCTGATACTGAGGCTGCTCAAGAAAATCTATCTATAATACTCCTAAGTAGATAGCTTCCTTCGCGTATTACTTAGGACTCCAAAAAGCCACGTTACCCATTACAATGGGTTCAGGGTATCAAAAAATAAGCGAAAAAATAGGTAAAAGGGATACCTTACGCCAAATAGCCGAAAGCGTGTGAATGTTACTGGCAGTCCAAGCCGCAGCTATACATAAATATATATATACTTTCACAATACTTTGTATATTAATTTGTTTTCTCTTTGTTTCGATTTTGTGGCGCTGAAAATTAATTAAAAATTACATGAATGAACGTTGAAGGATAATGAGCCCCTAAGCTGATTTTGCGCTGAAAATATTTAAAGAAAAAAATTGTCGACTGTGCGCCACATGAAAACAAAAGGAGGTAAAAACAACTGAGGTGCTCTGGGCGAGAGTGACCGACTGCGAAATACCCTAAGCTGCGCTGTATCAACTAGATAACATTAAAAAGAAAACTGATGTTTCCACAAGGCAGTTTCTGCACAACTTTTTATTCATTGTAAATTCTTCCAGAGTAGATCTTTAGTATATAAAGAACACATATATATATATATAATTATTTTAATTACGATATATTTTTATTTGTAAAATAGTTATTTGTAATTGGCGCTTATCACTTTGAAGCTGCCAGATTAAATATCTCCTGATAAGAAAAGTCCATGTCCCAATACAAAGGCATGCACCAAACCAATATACCCCATTTGCTCGTTATCAATAGCTGCAGGGTACGAAAAGTACTTGCCGCGTACTCAGCTATACAGGTATTCGAAAGAGAAAAGTAAAAAGTAAACGTTTTCTAGTTGACAGTGCTTGACTTGCAGATACCCTATCTACAGCATGCGTGACTCTAACTAATCTCGACAAGCATCAATCCAAATACAGATAAAGATTTAAGTGAATTAAAATGAATATGAGTTAGAGTGAGATATAGCGCTTATATATAAGTTTTTTTATGCAAATATATTTATATATTTAACTAGTGATAATAATTTTACTTGAAAGTAAAAGCATAAAGTCGAGGGTATTCGATTGTCGACTACCTAGTGGCAAAAGCAGTTTATTATTTTTATTTAATATCGACGAAACAACGAAATGAAAAAAGCGAAAAATAAAATGGAGTGGGAGCTAAGGGCAGGCGAAAAATGGAAAAATGTAAAAATGTTCTTAAACGTAGCAAAATATTTTTATAAAATAATTAAGTTTTCCGTTTTGTTTGCTGCAAATTATTATTTTATCGAGAGCCAAAGAAAAAGAGCAGAGAATCGAAGGTTCTGCCTTCTTTTGCCTCAAAATTAAATTGGAATTGTAAAAGGTGATTCGTAACTCGAACTAATATTTCAATATTAATTTTATTTTATTATTATATATTATATTTCCATAATTAATACTAGAAACATAACAAACCAAACCACAGGCAATTCAGACTATGCTCAACTGTCTTGACTGTCTCTAGATTTAGTGATTAATGAGAACTTGCATAGCTTTTGCATTTAATGAGATAATAGTAAAACTAAAGCAATGCTTAAGCATCAATAGAAATTATTTTGCAATTCAACTTCTTCACTCAACTGAGGCCTGCTCGAAGAAAGTCTTTTCTCTTGGCAAGCGACTGAAAACTTTAATTGAAAATATCTAATTATCTTCAAGTTATCGTCTCGTCAGCAGAAAACGAATCAGAAGACGCTAGACTAGAAGGCTCGAAGAGCAGATACCTTAAATAGAGCTTGACTACATGAATAATAATTATATCTTATATTATGCGAGAGACCAAGTACTATATTCTATATGCCCTTTCAGTTCAAGACATTATATCTTTTCTGAGTTGTACTTTTTCATTTGCACAATATTTATCTACCCAATGTTCGTGGACTTAGGGTATAAAAAGTCATTTATGCATATAACTTACAGAACTTTTTGGCCACAACAGGCATATATTTGTGCTAGAGATGCGAGAGATCACGACACGAAAGTTAAGCCTTTACTAAATAGAGTCAGTTGCTTAAGATATATTTATATTTATTAACTTCCCATTTGAATCATGATAAATGATTTTTTATTACAAGAAATCTTTAGAGAAACGGCCAACATCTACTCTCGTGCTAAGTCCGCAGTCGAAGTCGAGTCGAGTCTAGTCGAGTCCAGTTGAGTCGAGTCGAGTTGAGTCGTGTCGTATCAAGCACGACACAAAAGCTCATCTACAGTTTGCACATAGACAATGAATTTCATTTCTTAACGATGTAGTAATGAAATTTGGGCAATTTAAATTGTAATGATTTGGCGTTTTTCGAAGCGTTCTACGACCGAAAGCTGTGCTCAGAGGGAGCGTCTTTGTTGCAAAGTAGCTGAAATGACATTAAAAAGGCAACACGTACAAGTGCAGACAATGTAGGCTTAAGGATAAGCAAGAGTTTCGAGTGGACACAGAGCGATGAACCCAAACCCTTTCGACACCCTCCATTGTCCTCTCATAGTTTACAATCTTGTTATCTTTTGCCAAGGCATCTCGTGCCACATACGTAGCAGGTCCCCAAAATATATATGTGTCTGTGTGTGTGTGTGTGGGCGGCATATACCACATCTCTCAAGGCAATTAAAATCCTTGAAGGCAAGTTGATGTCATTTTGCCCTTTTTCGGTTATTTGCTGGCATTGTTATCGCCCTTGGCTTCGGATGATTATATGGTGTTTGAGGATCGTTTATTTAACATATTTTGCTTAAAATTCACTTTACTTGCAGTTAATTTTGTAAGAAAATTACAGCCAACTTGTGCTACCCGGCAAAGTGGCGCTGCAGTAGGTGGGCTAATAGTTTTCCTTATACCTTAGCTTCAACTAAAAATTATGTGCAAACACGTTTTAGTTTTTGACACTGTTTGCTATTTGCTTACAGAAGGAATGATAAATAAGTCCGAGCACTCAAGTCGCCAGCCCTCGACTCCTTACACTTGCATAAACAAAATCTCGAACTCCGCTGAGTAATTGGGAAATGTGAAATTGGCTTCGCCTTAGCTGTTTGCTGTTTGCTGTTCGATCGGAGCTTATAGATAACATTCATTTAGTCCACTATTGAGTCGACAGCATATTCCATATGTATATGTTATAGGGCGACGTGATGCCCATTTACCTTGGCAAAGTATAATCATTGATCCGAATTATTCATTATTCCCAAATCTATAGATTTTAATATTTTTCTAACTCTCTTGGTCTATTTTGTATATTTGCCGCAGCAAGGCGCATTAGGACGCTGATGATACGAAGTCAATAGCAAATCAACGAAACATTTGCGCACAGACAACCCCTCGCCTGTGGCAGGGTCCATGGTAATCGAATCCAACCAGAAGCCCAGACGCCCAGACACCCAGACACCCAGAACCCAGCAAATCCCATAAAAAGCAGTTCAATGATATAGAAAAATAGATAACGCAAAAAATTTGCAAGCAACAACATGGTAAGGAATCGCAACAAACAACGATATACGAGGGGGCGGAGAGAAAAATAAGAAGCGTGTCAGAAAATCAACTTTAAACTAAGCCGCAAAAACACTCAAACGGAGCGTCGTCAAGTGAATAATGGGCAAATCCGCAAAGTAAATATGACACATCGCAAAATGGCATTTGGCGATAAAAGGGAACACGCCTTGTCACAGTGACAGTCGCATCGCCAGCCAGTCACACATCCAATAGAAAGGTGTTTGACGAGTCCTGCCAGCAAGGGGTTACAGCTCGCTCCACACTTACTCAATTTCACCCCCTAACGATGGGTATCAATAAAAAGATTGCTCCGCTGGGCATACGCTTGGCCCAAAGAGTGCCATCTCGGTGAGTCGAGTGGGGTTCGAATTCGTATAAATATACCCACAAATATTTTGGGTCTTAAAAGTCAAGAAGAGTGCAACGCAAATGTAGCATATTTTACATTTCAGACTTAAGGCGTTAGGTTCGCTCTCTTTGTCTTGCAATTTATGGCACTTTGGCCCTAAATCTTGATATGCCAGAGCATTCGATGTGCATTAAAATTCAATAATCATAAAAGCAAAGCCCCAATAACTGTCATCAATTAACCCTTTACTTAAATCGAATGGACTCACAGAGAAATCACAGATATCTAGACACAGTCGCAACCAAGTCACAGTCACAGTCACAATAACAATCCTACTGACAGTCACTGGTACAGTTACAGTGATAGTTACAACCATAATCAAAGTCACAGTCACAGATACAGTCACAGTCACAGTCACAGTCACAATAACAATCCTAGACACAGTCACTGGTACAGTTACAGTCAGAGTCACAGTCACAGATACAGTCACAGTCACAGTCACAGTCAGAGTTACAGTTACAGTCACCGTTACAGTCAGAGTCACAGTGACTGTTATAGTCATAATCACAGTCACAGTCGCAATCACAACCAAAATCACAGTCTGAGCACCGTCACAACCATAAACCCGACTGTCACAGGCACAATCCCAGTCACAGTTGCAGTCACAGTTACAAATACAGTTAAAGTTACAGTCACAGTCACAGTCACAGTCACAGTCACAGTCACACTCACAGTCACAGTCACAGTCACAGTCACAGTCACAGTCACAGTCACAGTCGCAGTCACAGTCACTGTCACAGTCACAGTCACAGTTACAGTCAGAGTCACAGTCACTGTCACAGTCACAGTTACTGTTACAGTCACTGTCACAGCCATACAATCACAGACACAGTCAATAGCCATGAAGTTGTCCGCTGGTTTCATATGCACGCAATATTAACGTCACATAAATCTTGGCAACACTACTACTAAGTCGCTATTAAGTGAAATTGACCACATATTTTATCTTATACGCACACACGCAGACCGAGTCCAGACAGTGGATGCTGGGCCTATGGGCAGAGGGTTGGTTAGAGGGTTGGGCCAGTAATTGGTGCGACAGGCGCATAAAACAATCTGCGAGGAAAATATATGAGACCAGTAACAGGACACATGAAATTAACTAACTGAAATACCAACAAAAAACATGTACATATAATAACTTTATATGCGTTTGGCTTGAAGCAACCCGAGCAGTTGAAGAGTTGAGTTCCATGGATGTCAGTAAATTGTCAGCCACCTAGGAAAAGTTGCTACATCTGAGTAAACTGCTGAAAAAAACTGTTATAAGTCTTATATGCAAGACCCAATTGAGTTCCATAGCAGCCAGTAAATTATCAGCGAGCCATCTGTGAGTAAACTATATGAAATTGACCATAAGGATTTGACCAAATGGTATAACTGTAATACTTTAAACACGACAAACGGGTTGCTTTGCGTTTCACAGCAGACAGTTAATTTTGCCAAACATGTAATAGCGCTGCCAGATCAATAAAAATTGTTTGGTTTGCTTTGAAAGAAATTTTATTTATTTTACTTAATGCGTTTGAATTTTGCGTGGATTGAATTAAAAAAAGACTATTAATGTACAATATATACCTGTAAGTGTTAACATAGCTAGTAATAAAGAAAAATCTAACTTTAGGACATCAGAAGCACAAACACAATATAAATATACTGAGCACTCAATAACACTATAGCACTTAAAAAAATCTTCCTAACAAGTTAGCAACAGTGTTATCAATAAGTTAGTTTTTAATTTAAATGATTAAACCGTGTTATCTATCTGTGATTTATCGATGCTTTACCCAACATGCACTTTTAGTATTTTCAAATGTTAACTTTTCTGGGTGCCCACAGCAATATCAAATCTTTAGTGTTGATTATGGCTTACTTAAAAAGCTGTAAGCAAGTGACGTGTAAGTCGGCGATTACAGTTAGTGAATCGCCTATTGTTCTAAGGTAATATTAGAGTGAGCTGGATTTAGTAGAATTAAAACCTATCCAATAATGCAGTTGGTATATGCATGTAAGTAATAAAATCCAGTGTAAAACAAGTGATAGCATATACTCTTACTCATATTAATTTTGTTGTATATTACTTTATCCGCCCCCTTTAGTTGTCAGCATTTTTTTGCTATTTTTATGCCGAGCGAACGCGTTTTATTCTCCCTCCGATAATGTTGTGGAGCTTACGCCATCTAACTTCAATCGCGAGGTAGTGCAAGACGATGCCGTATGGATTGTGGAATTCTATGCGCCTTGGTGCGGCCACTGCCAGACGCTGGCGCCAGAGTACAAGAAATTGGCCGGTGCAGTGAAGGGTGTAATCAAAGTGGGTTCGGTTAATGCAGATGAACATTCGGAATTGAGCAGCAAATACAACGTACGTGGCTTTCCCACAATCAAAATCTTTGGCGCCAACAAAAAAACGCCCATCGATTACAGTGGCCAACGCACAGCGAATGCAATTGCCGACGCAGCTCTCGCTGAGGCAAAGAAGAAGGTTCAAGCTGCTTTCGGTGGCGGTGGCAGCGGCAGCGGCAGCAAGAGTGGTTCCTCAAGCTCTGGTGATGACGTCATTGAACTCACTGAAGATAACTTTGACAAACTTGTTCTAAACTCTGATGATATTTGGCTAGTGGAATTCTTTGCGCCTTGGTGCGGTCATTGCAAGAATCTGGCTCCAGAGTGGGCCAAGGCAGCGAAGGAGCTGAAGGGAAAAGTGAAGCTTGGCGCCTTGGATGCCACAGCTCATCAGAGCAAGGCATCTGAGTATAATGTGCGTGGCTATCCCACCATCAAGTTCTTCCCAGCCGGCTCGAAGCGGGCCAGTGATGCTGAGGAGTACAATGGTGGACGCACTGCCTCCGATATAATTAGCTGGGCCAGTGACAAGCATACAGAAAATGTGCCCGCGCCGGAACTGGTCGAGATAACGGACGAGTCCACTTTTAACACTGCTTGCGAGGGCAAGCCCTTATGCGTTGTCTCTGTGCTGCCTCATATTCTCGACTGCGATGCCAATTGTCGCAACAAATTCCTGGACACCTTGCGTACCTTGGGCGAGAAATTCAAGCAGAAGCTTTGGGGCTGGACCTGGGCGGAGGGTGGTCAGCAGCCAGCGTTAGAAGAGTCCTTGGAAGTTGGCGGCTTTGGCTATCCGGCAATGGCAGTTGTGAACTTTAAGAAGATGAAATTTTCGGTGCTCAAAGGCTCCTTCTCCAAGGATGGCATCAATGAATTCCTACGCGACATATCCTACGGTCGTGGCCAGACTTCGCCAGTGCGCGGCGCCAAGAAACCAGAGATCGTTAGCGTCGACGCTTGGGATGGAAAGAATGGACAGCTGCCCACCGAGGAGGACATCGATCTGAGCGACGTTGACTTAGACGACGATGTCAAGGATGAACTGTAATAACTTAACACCAAAAAACCGTATCTTCAAGCTCAACTCTTCCTCGATTTTGAGTTCAACTAATCTTTACTAATACTAAGTCAGACTGCTTAACTAAATATTAGCATTTTCTACTATTTGTAAAAAAAAAAAGAAAAAGAAAACTGAAAAAAACTACGCCAAGAATAAACTTTCCATAATTTAAAAGCATTCGTGTTGGAAGAAATGTTTATTATACTAGAATATCAAGTAAAATATAAAAGTCAAAAAATATATGATTAAAGATGAAAATTGAATTATGTATCAAATCTTTAAAGAATTGGCACTAAGCTAAAAGTGTATAATTAAAGAACGGATTAAGTACATATATATATAAGTTGGGCATTTTAAGTACAACCTGTATAGAAGTTTTCCTTTTATCTTATGGCTATTTGTAAAGTATATCCAAAAATAAGTCTGTCACAATCTCTTTAGTTAATAGAAAAATATCTTGAGCGTAAATTCAGAGTTTTTGAAAGTGCAAATGTAAATGAGCACTACCTGAATCATATATATATATAAGTATATAAGTATATATATATATATATACATATATATATATATATATATATATATTTATATATTATATATGTCAATAGCTTAGGCAAGTTGATGATGATGCTTCTGATCTACTGGATAATTCTCTATCGATTGTATTGAACGCGATGTGGCTGCCGTAATGGTGGATGAGACGTCCATAAATCGATATTTTTTATCATCGCGACACAAGAACGGATAACACATGATGCCATAGTAAAACACTAAAGATACTACGATGATCGAAAATAGAATGGCAATGATTCCGAATGTGGAAAAACTCGACTTGCTATCCAAGTATTCCTTAGCTGTTAATGGCGCTGGGCTACTAGTCGTTGGCATTGGCGTTGTTGTTCCACGTCTAAGTCCGCGTTGAAAGCTGTCCACGTTGGATATGAGACAACTGGAGGCTGAATAGTGTGAAAGAAAAATTAAGATTTATACAAATTATGATAGAATATTTATATATATATATATTGATGTAAAATTCAAACGCACCTATAACAAGCAAGCACAGGAAATACACGTTACTTTGATGGAACATATTCAATAAATAATTTTTGAGTAATATTAGTAGATTAAGAATGGACGCAGGCGCAGACACAAATGCAAACACTACAGCGATAAAGCAACCGTAAACAAGGAAAACTGGTATATATTGTAATATTTGTTAGTATCGATACTTTCACATTTGCAACCAGCTATGCTTGATGCCACCGCTAGCGATACCAATTGTTATCGACAGTATCATTGAACCAAGAGTTATTGTGCTAGTTGAGTTTGTGTGTGCACTTAATTTGTAGGAATTGTTATAAAATCATTGGACAAATTAATAATAAAAAAAACACAAACTATATTCCTGCTTCATGTACACGAATACCGCAAAAACATTATTGGAAAATGGACGACATCACAGTTGTCTGAAATAAAAAAGCAAAAAAAAGTGACGCGACGGCGACGCTAAATTATAGCTGTTTTGCCGTGCAAATCGCGTAAGCAACAGCAAGTTTTCCAATTCGCCACAAATAACCATTTCTATAATTTTAACGAAATCTAAGAAATAAACTCAATTCAAAGTATGCGACAGAAAAAGGTACAGTGAACATTTTCTTGCTTGTCAATTCGATTGTCGGCAGTAAACGGCAGCACAAAGCGGGCTCAAAAAGAAGCACAAACACAAAGTGAACAGCAAAGAAACGAAGCAACAACAAAAGAAGGAAAGAGAAACGCTATTTAGTTGGCAGTAGTGGTGGACGTATGCTTGCTTGTGAGTATATGAGTTTGTGTGTGTGTGTTGGTGTGTATGTGTAGCTTATGAATATAAACAGTAACATTTTTTACAAATGTAGATCAGTTAATGCTGGAAAAATGTCACATTTGCCATTGGATGCGCGCGCTATACTTCAGCACCTAAATGAATTGGGCTATAGAAATATATCTGCCGAACAACTACGTGAATTTTTAAAAGGTAAGGCCTTTCTAAGAAATAAATAAGACAGCAGTTCCCGCCATTGCATATAGTGTTTGTGTATATATAGATATATATACATATACATAAATATATATATATATATTTATATGTGTGCGTTGTCGTTGAGTGTGTGTGAGTGAATGCAATGAACGCTTCAAAGTGTTATTTGAATTGCAGCATGTTTTGTTCTGTTTTCGTTAATTTTTATGAACGATTCGTCACCATTTTTTCGTATTTTCTCGTTAAAATATATGAGAAATAAGTGACGATGACAAAAGTTCGTAGCTGTGTATCACGAAAAATGAACGAGTATTACTCGTAAATTGTAAATAACAGAAATAACGAAAACAATTTCTGCTGAAGCGTTCTGTCTACTTAAAGCGCTTATACGCATACACATTCACACGCATAAATACACGTTTGTATTTATGTACATAAAAATGTACGTGTGTGTATATATATTCTATTGTATACGTTTAGAGCAAGGCATGTTTCGACTGACGGCGACAGCAAAACCAAAAGTTGCTGTTGGGCTCACCGCTTGCCGCAATGGTTGCGCTGTCGCTGCATGTCTGTGCGTGTTTAGTTTGTGTGCGTATTTTAAATGAGTGTGGACGTTTCTTCATGGCATACAAAACATGTAAAACGTGCACACAACTACATATGTATGTACACGTGTATATGTATATATATATATATATGCATGCATTTTGTAGTAGTTATTAACATTTGTTTAGTACTTTTATTTACTGTACATAAATATGTGCATGCATCTGTGAACGCGCATTGCAACTGTACATAAACACACACATGCACGTTGTTTTCTGTTTTCCCACTTCGTTTATATAAATTTTTTGTTTTCCCATTGTTAGGTTCTTTTAGCTTAAAAAATTAGTGTTTTTGCTTTGAACATCAAGCGCACAGTTTTGAGTTATTCAATTTGTAATGGAGGTTTAAAAATGAACTAGACCACTATTAGTCGATTTTATTCTTTACTACTATGATTTATAAAATACTATGAATATTTGTACAGATTACTTTTTAATTGTAAGCAGCTGCTGGATTATTTACATGCTGCCAATGTTACCGTTTACTCTGCGGTTGTTCATTGTTGGTTGCTGCAGCGGTTCGCATTCAACCCTGCACACAAATACATATGAACGTTTCAAAATTGTGCGGCATATGCAATATAGTTAGGTATGTATGTGTGCGTTTGTACATGCAATGGAAAAATGCACATGTATTATTGTTTTTTCGAAGTAGACCGCCGATCCACATAAATGAAATAAAAATAAATACATACACAAAATAAAAATCGAGTCTCATGTGCTGTGAAACAGCAAATGGCAAATGGAAATTGAAAGTTGATTTGTTGTGTTCGAAATGAATTCATTTGAACGGGTCGTTGAAATGATCTACGAAACTTCTCTGTTTCTCACTTTTGCTTCTCTATTTTTATACTTCCATGGATAATGGATAAGCCAATTATAAGGACAAATGTTTTTAACAGTCGTATATATATTTAGTCGACTTCATCATCTTTAGCAAAATTATTCTAGTAATATTTGCTCGTCTGCCTACATTAATGTATAGACTCAGAACTATGTGTTATCGTTAGAAATCGATATTAGACCCAACTAATTTTGTAAACAGTAAAGGCTTGCAAATTAAAACAATTTAAAATATAAAAAATATATTTAAATCAAATTAAATTAGACGTTACTTTTTATTATTTTTGTTTTGGTATCACGACCAGTGTACATTTTCAAAGACTATGTATGTTTGTAGTTTTAACACTATTAAAGTGTTTGTTTCTATATCAAACTGGAGATCTCTATAGCTTATATAATCTTTGAAAATGTCCCCGCAACTGTCCGTGCAAGCGTTTCGAATTTATTATCTTATTATAATCAGAACTTTATAGTTTATTTTCTGTATGATTTTGCACATATTAGTAATGCCTGCGTCTGCGTCCCGATGAAGACATGCTATTGGCAATTGTTTAAAAGCTTTAATCTAAATTGGGAAGGATACGTCGTTGGTTTGCCGCTCTACGAATTTTGCAAATGTATATACGTTATCTGCAAGTCAAATTGTAAAAAACCTATGTTTTTATTATTGCACGAAATTATTTGTTTAATTATTATATATAACTTTGAAGATGATGTCGGATAGTGCTGTGTCAGTTGGTTGGTGGCTGCTGCTAAATACAGGCCTAGAGCATTTAAAATTAACTAATTAATTTCAATTTATTTATATCTAATTCTTGGTCCTTCGCATCACAACAACAAATGCAGCTTATTTGCGCCTAAAGGTATGCAACCACAGTCGGATAAGCAAAGTGCTAGCAAAAGCAAACTCGCAACAGCAAGAGCAAGTCCTCAACAACAGCAGCAGCAGCCCCAGCCAGAGCTTCAGCAACAGCCTCATCACCGCTCCAAAGTAAAGGTCATTAAGAGCAAGCGTCCACTTTGCCACTTTAAGTTTTACTTGGACATTTGCGATCATCAGCTAGCCAAGCGCATTGAGGCGGATATCAAGGCGCTTGGAGGCACGCTTGAATTCTTCCTCAACGACAGTATTACTCACTTCATTACCGATAAGGAAAACGGATCGGCTCTTGGAATTTCTGAGGCTCGTAGGAACTCACGTAGCCAGCCGGGCACTCCTTTAACGCAGCCTACAGCTAATAGCCCTCATACGCCCATTACACCCATTGCAAATACTCATGAAGACAGCAATGGCCTACAGCGCAGGACCCGGCAAACGCGCGCCGATGCTATTCTGAGTCGTGTGCGCGGAGTACAACAAATAACACCAATTGCAACTGAGGCCCATTCCATTCATCGGCAGCAACAGCAGCAAATTTATCATAAAAATTCACAAAATTGTGGCAGGTTAACGTTTGCTACGTACACCATCTGGCAGACTGAGTATGCCTTACGCTTCTTCCAGCGTATACAGACCGAATTACGGCAGTATTTAAAAGGGGCAGCATCTGGAACATCAGGTGGATCCCAGACAGCAGGAACAACTAATATACACCTGAAGGGCAATTACATCAAGATCGAGTCAATCAAACGCAATCACCGACCATACTATCATCTGTTAAAGCAACCAGACGAGTGGCCTAAAATTGATTTATGCAGCGAAGATAGTGCCTTTCGTTTGCAGACCAAGGCTTATGTGCAAAGTATGACACGTAGGTCGCTTGGCTCACGGACCTCGCAACGTCAACAGGATCAACAAGATCAGCGACATCCACAGTCGGTGCCCGTGCAGCACGCGGCCGTTCAAGCACTCAAAAAGCAATCAGTTTCTGTGCATACTCCAGACAGTCCCAGATCGCATTGCAAAGAGTTGAAGGAGTCTAGCGATAAGCAGTGCGGTGTATGCGAGATTTGTAAGATCGAGTACGATACGTTAACAACACATTTGCAAAGTAAGGAGCACGATTTATTTGCTAAAAACGTACACAACTTTTTGGCACTCGATACGCTCATTCAAGTGTCGGCAAGCGTTACCGATTTTCTTAAAAGAGAGCAGCAGAAACATCGTAATCATTCAAGGAAGGAGAAGGAACAAACTGCCGCAGAGACAAACAGCGACATGGAAGTTGATGAGCTTCTCAACAATAGCACCGTTGCCCTCAACACAAAGTCACCCAATCAATCAGATTCGAACGCAGCTCAACAAAGCAGCAATAATAATAGGCAACGCCCGTCCCCAGCGTTACGTGAAAAATCTAAGCGTATTACTAAGGGCAAGCATTCGTCGGAAAAGTTCAGAGCCACGGGAAATACATCGCCCAATCCATTAACTCCGTCACCTAATAAAAAAATTACAGCAACCTGTAGTCTTCTTGAGCTACAGCGTGTCGAGGAAACGGCCAATAATGCAACAATAGCTGCTGCAACTCCATCCAATCCGACGCGGCGTAAGACGCAGAATTCGGTCTTATCGCCGCCAATTCGAGCAATGCTGCCACCTTCATCCTTGTACAAGGTGGTAGAAGCTAACGATGCGGTCGCATCATCCCCTCGAATCAGACGTGGTACAACCAATGTCGCTGGCAATGTGATGGACTCCCCATCGCTGATTGTTAAGTTCCAAAAAGTGCGTCAATCCGAACTACAACGACTTAATGGAGAAGCGGAAAATTTTATGTTTCCCCGAACGACTATTCGCAGTAGCAGCGAACTTCCTACAGATGTAGATCGTCACACAACCTCAGATGCACGCGGCCACCAGAGCAATTCATCGCCTAGCTCCCACAGTACAAGCGAGGTGGAAATACCCGGCTTAACCACGCCAATCAAGTTGCAGGGTCGAGCCACAGCGGTGGGCAGAAGAAGGAAAAGACCGCCACCAACACAGGTGCAGACTGCATTGACCCAGCTACAGCGCCAGTTGTCAACAGGTAGCAGCAGTAGTAATGGTGGTGGTGGAGTTGGTGGCCAGCAACAGCAGCAGCGCTTTCCAAACGCCCCCATCCAGCCAGAGATGCAACCGCAATTGCTAAGCCAAAAGCAGGCGACGGCTACACGCAAGAGCAGCCGCATGGCCACTGCCATTGTGACAGCGGCCACAACAAGCAGCCAACTGCAGTTACGCCGACGGACAGAGTCTACGCTCATAGTAAGGCGCGGTAGCAACATGGAGGATCGGATGGGGGAGCAAACAAATTCGAAGAAGACCGAAGCACGTCCGGAATCGGATGAGCTGGAAGATGAAGAGTCAAACGACGAGTCGAGCTCTTCTGGCAGCGATGAAGACTATGTGGCAAACGGAAAATTGCGTAGGACTATGCCTGCCACAAATCGCTTAGATACAAGAGAAGAGCGCGCTGCCAGACGCTTATCACGGCTGACAATTAGTATCAATCGTACCGCTGGTGACAAGCTTCCACCCTTAGCGCCGGCGACACCAGAGAATAAATCGACCCGTACACGAAAATGCAGCAGAAATCGAAAGCCGTCGATAGCAAAAGCGAAACAATCTAAACAACAGACAACGCCACCAACATCGGCGAAAAAGACATTGGCAACGGAACTGATCTTTGACTGCAGCAAGAGTGAGCGACTGAAAAAACTGCGCTACGCATTTGAGAAGTCACCTGAAGCGGACTTATGGCATCGCGTGTTTCAGCGGCAAGATGCCTGTGAGGAGCACTTTTACAGTTACTATGGATCTACGGAATACCGCAAATTACCATACGAGCTGGGTCCAATACCCATGGATCGTACATCTGCTCATAGCTGCACTCTATGCCGGGGTCAACAGGAGCATACTGAAGAAGAATTTAAAGTACAATCGCTTAGACCCATAAAGCTAGAGCGAAATCGCGATTTAGAAACAGAACAAATTGCTGCACAGTCTGACAGTAATCAAACAGTCGCAACAACAACATCCACAACAACGTCATCGATGTACAGGCACAAGAAGATGCATCTGCTGCAGCGCTATCAGCAGGAACAGCAACAGCAACAACAGACTTTAAACACTGCCATACCGTTACCGAAATGTGATAGTAAAGCCAGCACACCGGAGTTGCTGGAACGTGAGTTTGCTTCACTAACAGAGAACGCACAGGTAGTGGAGTTGGTGCGTGCTGCATCCACACAGAGCAATTCAAGCAGTAGCTGCAGCAATAGTCAAAACAGCAACGCCACTTGTCGTAACAAGCAGCTGGCGAGAATCGCTGAGCTGCCGCCACGTAAATCACCTAGGGAGCATGCATCTACGTTGGCCCTGGTCAGCTGCATTATACGGCAGCGACAAGATTCCCTAAGCAAAACTAACTCAGAGGTGGATGAACCAGGATCAGCAGCTTCTGTGAATATAGTTGCACCAATCTTGAAATTGCCACTGAAGCAGGAATCAGTGATATTGAGTTCGAATTCCCATAACACACGGTCACAAGCTGCCACACCAGTGGAAGAACTGCGTTTTGCCACCGAAATAAGTGAGACTGTAAAACGAATGCGACGTGGTCAAAACAAGTATGATACGTTGCCTTCTACACCGGCATTAGTAGCGGCAAAAACGCCCACGATAACCAGATGTCGTCGCCCGACAGCAGCAGCGGCAGCGGCAGCAGCAGCAACTTCTGCTAGCTTTTCTAGTCGCCTCGAGTATTCAGGAAGAGATGTTACCACAAAGGTGCTGTTGAGTAAACGTAAACGCCGACAGATATCCAGCGCACCAGCTATGCGGCTGCCGCAACAGCAACCACCGGGGTCCATAGGTCTAGTTGCCGGTGTTCGTAAACTGCCCAGTAAGAAGGGAATCCTGGAATATGAGATGGAGGCGAGTGCACTTAAGGCGCTGGATGCAAGCATTCAATATGCTGATCCTATGCTAATAGCTTGGAAGATTGATAAATATCTGGAACTAACAGGCAGAGAGTATGATTTTAATTCGGATGAACAAATGCAGTTCTTACAAACAGCCGAACGTTACAATGAGGATGTGGATTTTCAGATGTGTACAGATGCGCATACGCCGCCTCCTACAGATTTTTGCTTTACCAGTGAATTTGATCTTTGCGATCTGTTGGCTGCAAGCTCTGGAAGTGGGGAGGACGATGAGATATCTGGGCGTTCTGGTTGTCGACGAAATAGTAGAATGAATTTGTATTGTAGCTATCAGCGTAAACGAAAATGCCTAAAATCAAATCGGACGGGTTGGCCCAGAGCGCAGAGACGACGAGCGCCGGTATTATCAAATGCAAAACTTCAATCTAGTGAGCGCTCCAGCTTCCGAAAATTGAGTATTGGCGAGTCCCATGAAGCACAAAAGCTTAAGGATCCAAAACAGGAACATATAGAAACAGAAGAGGAGCAGACCACAACGACGACGACAACCACAACTACCGATAAAGAAATTAGCAAAGAACAGGACGATGATAAATACGAGGATGGCAGTGGTGGGGCAGGCAGCAATCGAGAAGCTGCAGAAAGAGAAAAGCCGACACGTCAAGCAACTGATATGACGCCTCCGGCCACGGATGTAGACGAACCGGTAGAAAGTGGAGATTATTCGGGCGATGAAGCGGCAGCAAGTGTGGACAATGAAAGTCAAGTCGATGATGACGATGACGAAACAATGGCCGACTCTATTGACCAGGTGCGTGATGGCAAAATAGAGATAGAAGCAACCGATGCTGATGTTGAAGAAGATGATGGTGAAGACGACGACGACGACGATGATGATGATGATGTTTTTGAAGACGCTTTCGGTGGGGAAAACATACAACATGAAGAGCTAAACGTACAAAACTTCTCTCAGTCGTACGTTGATGAACCAGAAGACAAACGTATTCGAATAATCTCCGAGTCTCCCGCCAATAATTCTGATGAAAATCGTTCGCAAAAAATGTCCCTGCTCACGCTACAAACTTCCAACGGATATCGCCTGAATGCCACTTCTACACCGAGCACACAACAAACGCGCCAGCAGCAACAACGACGTACGCCGCAATTGAACGGTAGTCTGGGTAGCTGCATTTCACCCAGCGAGAAATTGGGTGACCATTCGGACGTATTTACTGTGTCGTCTGATGGTCTCGATACAGATATGGATTTGAGCAACACTCAAGCCGGCGACTCACTGGAACATTGCTCACATCAGAGACTGCAGCAGACAACGCCCAAACGCAAGTTTGATCTCTCTAAGTATGCCCCCCCTAACAACGGCATGGCCGCAAGCAGCTGTGCCGCAGAGGCGGCTACTGCAGCGGTCAAATCGCTTGCCATATCGCAGTTTCTAAAAAAGGAGGTGCGTGTCACATGCCGGCGACTTCGAGCGCCCTTTCGCCGCTTTCGATATCGTCGCTAATCATCTCTTCTATCATCATTTTGACATTAAAAACCATTATTAGTTTAAGTGCAAAATTGTAAATTCAGATGTACAGCGAGGAAGATCAAGAAAATTGTTCATTAGGTTTATTACACAGTCCCTCCATAAGCATTTACAGTTTCGATTTTTTATTCCCCTATCAAACCCTCTACTCTCCCTCGATCCTGCTACTGTACATTATTATAATATTGACGATTCATTGTCATCGTTGTTCGAACTTTATATAATTCCACAGGTGCAGTTCCCCTGTCATTGATACCCAAATTCACACATTGTGCATAATGATAATTAGCTTAATTTAAAATACAATATCAGCTAAATACGTAAAGTAAGATAAGATTAATTTTAGCTTAGATCAAATTTAGTACTCTTTGAAGCACCTTAGCCTGACTACCCAACAAAGAAAAGGAATAACGAAAAGAAACGATGGAACAATACAGACATAGTTTGCATAAGTAGAGCGTATAGAATTATTACAAAAAAATCATTAAATTTTGTTTCTACAACAATATCAACTGATGCTCAAATTATGTATAACAATATAAAACCAAAAGCAATTGTAAAAACTTAAAATCAAAGAGTACATTAAAATATATAATAAAATTAAAGCGACTGCATTTCATTGAAAAATATCAACAAAATTCAATCACTTTTCGTTAAGTAAAATTGTTCTAATTGAAAATTCTTTGATCTTATCCAGACTTGCGCCGGCTTATTAAATATGAAGAGCGTATGGCGACGAACCCGAAGGAGGACTATTTCAGCAGCCTTCATAAACGCAACACCATAAGCTCGCGCGCCAAGCTAGGCGACAAGGAAAAAGACCCTGTGCCTCCTCCGGTTGTCAAAGACAAAACGAAGCAGCCGCTAAGCGATAAAAACAAGGAATGTGTTATCAATGAAAGCAGTGCCACCGCTTCCAACTTGAATTTGGCAGCACTGTTTCGTGAAAAGCTTTTGATAGACGAATCGAAAGAACCACAGACATCTACTGATTGTGTACGTCTCAGTCGCTGCAAGACACTGAAGTCGAGTTCTTCGAAGGAAACAAACTCACAGGACGCACGCGACGTACATCGCTCAAAATTGCGTAAATCACGTCCGCGTAGCTTGAGTCGAAATTCTATACAAAGTAAGTGTTCTATTGTCCATGATATAACTTTTGTTTGATAATAAAATGTTTTTTTGTTAGGTTACAATCAGGATAAGAACAAGCTGAAGCCTTTACGAAATGATCCGGTGGCTTTGTATCATTATTATAAGAACGAATGGTTCCACTTTCGTGACCAAATTCCAGGCGAGACCTCGCATAGTGATCTGCGATGGGAAATACGGAACAGGTTTGATCCCAAATGAGAGGCATGCAGTTGGAAATTTGTTTGTTCATTAAAACTTAACTTGAGCTGACGCTTAAATGCAAAATAAAGTTTAAAAGAACGTGTATTTTTTATACATACTGTGTACTCTTAATTGTTGGATGTGAAATAGCTTCAAGATTTAATTTTTAATTTTTTACGAGCGATATGTTTGTAGCAAGTGCTTATAAAAACAAAAGGAAAATCTCAGAAAAGAAATATATTATCTTAAGTTACATCAAACGTATCACACATTAACGATACGTTCACATTCGATATTCGCTTTAAAAATACACATTTTTTATTAAGCAAGAAACGTTTCCCTTTAACAAAAATATATTGAGATCCTTACTCAATTACTTGACTAGGACTAGGACTAGTTAGTGACATTTGCTCTAACCTACATTTTATTATGTAAATATAAACCTATATACTCGTTTCCTTTATTTTTATATCAACTCAAATTCAAAATGATTGTCGTTTAAACGAAAATAGGAATCTCCTTGTTATATTGTGGTCCTAAAAAGGACCGATTTGTTGGGTGCGATTTGTATATGTACAAGGCAGAGAGAAGCAATTTAAGCGCGCTCGCCGCGAATACGTCTGGCCAGTTGAATGTCCTTGGGCATGATTGTGACACGCTTAGCATGGATGGCACACAAGTTTGTATCTTCGAATAGGCCAACCAAATAGGCTTCGCTAGCTTCCTGGAGAGCCATCACAGCTGAGCTCTGGAAACGAAGGTCAGTCTTGAAGTCTTGAGCGATTTCACGCACTAGACGCTGGAACGGCAACTTGCGAATAAGCAATTCAGTGCTCTTCTGGTAGCGACGAATTTCACGCAGAGCAACAGTGCCAGGGCGATAGCGATGAGGTTTCTTGACACCGCCAGTAGCTGGTGCACTTTTACGTGCTGCCTTAGTGGCCAACTGCTTGCGAGGAGCCTTGCCTCCAGTTGATTTGCGAGCGGTCTGCTTTGTACGAGCCATTTTTTTCTCTCTTTCACAATTCTTACTTTACACTGTCACTGTTAAAAACACAATAATCGAGATGCTCGCTTACGCATCGCTTATATAGAAAACTGGTGGTGAGTTAGAATGAGATAGACATATTCGTTACTCATGTTAAATGCTATGCGCTCTACTCTACAAGTTGAGAGGGTAGTGTGTGAGAGGGATGCAAGCATTTGTGTGCTCCCTCGTGTTTTCGGGTTTCTCGGTATAAATATAAGTGGATGTAACGATGCAGACATTAGTTTGTTTCTGACATTCGTGAAGTGTTCATTAAAAAGTAAAAAGTGAAAAATGACTTTTTTTTTTTTTTTTTTTTTTTTTTTTTTTTCTTTATTTTGTTGCAGCTTATTGTCTTAGACTCTATAGCGCATTTAGCTCTAAACCTTAACTAATGGGAGGGCAGATATGCCAATTATTCTGCACTTGTAGCTACTATCTTAATTAGTTCTAATATTGTCTAGAGGATGCAATCTCTTCAGTCTTCGCCTATTGTTGTTTATAGCCAGGTTGCTTGCGAGATGGTTAGGATGCGCTGCAAGTCTGTCCGCGTATCTTGAACTGTGTCGCCCAATGAGTTCAGCAACTGTGGGAATTGCTAAATCCCTATGTAAGACTGAGTTTCTTACAAACCAGCTGGCTCCAGTCCATCTGCGTAGTGCTTTATTCTGCAGGGTCTGAATTTTGTTCCTTGTAGTCTTCGCCGAGGAGCCCCATAGAGAGATACCATATACGAAGGTTGGGACAACTATTGCCTTGTAGATGGCGGCCTTGCTGCTGTAAGACAACTTGCTTGAAGCTCTCAGCATCCAGTCGAGGGTTTTTAGCTTGCTTTTGCATTTTGAGGTTACTTGACTTATGTGCGCTTTAAAAGTCAGCCTTCTGTCAAGAGTGATACCAAGGTACTTTACTTTTGAGGCTTTGGGAATAGTGGGCCCCAATGCAACGCTTGGGCAATCTCCTCTTCTAGTGGCGAAGGTAGTATGTACAGACTTTTGTGCATTAATGGTGATACACCACCGTTTTGCCCAGCGTCCGAAAGAGTCCAGATATTTTTGTAGTGAGTCTGAAGCTTCTTGCGCAGATACGTGACGTGATAAGATGGCGGTGTCATCTGCATAGGTCGCTATGAGTACTGCATCTGTACTTCCTATATTTGGCTCGGGAGTTGGCATATCTCCTGTGAATAAAGTATAAAGTGTTGGGCCTAGAACACTACCCTGTGGTACTCCAGCCATAATTGGTCTAGTCAAGGATACTGCTTGCCCCCTTGACACTTGGAAGGTTCTTCCAATAAGGTATGAGGATAGCAACGCGAAAAATGGGGCTGGAAGGGTGGTCCTCACTTTCTGCAGCAGTCCCAGGTGCCAAACTCGATCAAACGCCTGTTTGATGTCTAAAAAGACGGCAGAGCAGTACATCTTTTCTTCAAAGGCTCCAAGGATATGGTGCACAACTCTGTGAACCTGTTCCGGTGTTCCATGCTGTCTCCTGAAGCCAAACTGATGGTTTGGAATGGCCTCCTGGCGTCCCAGATGTGTCAGTACTCGTTCCAGAAATATTCTTTCGAATATTTTGGAGAGTACTGGCAACAGGCTAATTGGTCTGTACGACTCAATTTCTCCCACGGGTTTGCCAGGCTTAGGAATCATCACAATCACGGCGCGCTTCCAGCAGGCTGGAAAGTGCCGGATGCGGAGCATGGCGTTGTACACCATAGTTATGTAGTCTATGGTGGAGTCAGGCAGTGCTCTAAGGACTCTGCCGTTTATTAGATCATATCCAGGGGATTTTTTTGCCTTCACTCTTCTGATGTGTTCAAGAACCTCTTCTTTTGTACATCCAGTTATCTGGTCTTCAGCTGGGAGGGGCGAGAGAACGATGTCTTCTGTTGCTTCGATTTCTGAGGCCTCTGCGGTAATCACCGGCGTGAATTGGTCTTGAAGGTGGTTTGCAAAAGCCTCAGCTTGAGCTTCGTCACCAATGTGCCAGGAACCAGAAATGCTCCGAATGGGATGTCGACGTATTGGCTGCCGTTTGAGCTTTCTTGTAAATTTCCATAATTGAAACTCTGCGTCAGTGGGCGATTCAGCTCGTACCAGCGCATCGCTGATACACCTCTTTTGAAGCAGGGCGAGAGCAGCTTTAAGATGCCTCGTGGCTTCGTTGTACGTGGATTTGGCATCAGGCGTGCGTAATCTTAACCAGCGTCTCCTGGCCCATCTTTTGTGTATTAGTAGGTGTTGGGCCTCCAAGGTGAGGGGGATGTTGTACGGAGACTGTTGTCTTGTTTGGCAAGATGGTGGGGCGGCTTGGTGCGCAGCTTTGACTATTTCTTCCTGCAGTTTGTTTGCTGCGTAGTCCACGTCTTCAGGAGTGTTAAGTTCCATTTCTATGTGCAAAGAGTAATGGAGCTCGCGCCTAAAGACTCCTAAATCTGATCCTGCTGGCAGTAGTTGTTTCCTAATGGGCAAGGGCTGTGGCTGCGCGTGGATTGTGACTATTAGTGGCAGGTGGTCAGAGGATAGGTCCAAGGATTCTTCAATGGTCAATTGCCGGTCACAGATGCCTTTGTAGACAGCGAAGTCGATTGCCGAGGGCCTGTGTCCATTAATTGGGTAACGGGTGGGGGCTCCAGTCGCCAATATGCTGAATTGTAAGTTTTGAATCGCCTCAAATATGACTTCCCCGCGACGATTCGCACTATTGCTTCCCCAAAATGGGTGCCATCCATTCCAGTCGCCGCCGATGAGGGTCTTATTCAACCTTTGGCCTAGAACCTGTTCCATGTGATGATCACACAGACCAGTGTTTGGCGGAAGATAAATTGACGCAACTTCGATCGCTCCAATAGACGTAGGCAGGGTGATGGCTGAGACCTGCATTGTTGCGTTGCAAATTGACAGTAAAGGTGTATGCGGTATTGTTGCTCGTATGAGGATTGAGGATCCACCAAAGCAGTTTGCTCCTTCACCATGAGCCTGATAGTGTTCGTATCCGAAAATTTGTGTAGTGGGGCACTCATGAGTTTCTGTTATTAACATTATATCTATGTTTTCTTGTGAGAGAAACGCAGCCAGTTCCTGAGTCTTGTTTCTCAGGCCATTGGCGTTCCAGATACCCACACGTAAAGCCATTATTTGTAGGCAAGCTTGGTTATGATGGCCATTAAACTGTTTAGCATGGTTGCTTGTTGGGATTGTACTTCTCGCATCGCTTTGAGCTCGGCATTAATTGCGTCAAACTGACGTTGTTGTTGCTGAAGCATTTCAGTGAACAAAGTGTCACTTGTGGTATTCTTATTTGACGGTCCACCTCTAGCGGCCTGTGCGTAAGAAACACCACTAATAGGCGTTGCAAAGCTCGTGGCTTGGGTAATGCTCCGGGGCCTTGTAATTTCGGAAGCAGTACTCGGACCCGTAGACGGTGTTTGTGTGGGACTCCTTTTTTGTGCTGGGGATTGCAATTTGCGCAACCGCTTGTATACTTGGCAGCCCTTATAGTTGGCTGGGTGCTGTAACTCACAGTGCACACAAGTTGGTGCCTGGTCCTTTTCGCGGGTGCAGTCTTTGGATGCGTGTTTCCCGGCGCAACGCACACACCTGGGAGCTTTGTGGCAGTAGCGTTGTGTGTGTCCAAATTCTTGACAGCGATGGCATTGTGTCAGGTCGTTGTATCTTCTTGGCAGTTCCACTGTGCAGCGTTGCCTGCAGACAACTCGAATGTCCAAAATTTCTTTGTTGTTGGGGGCCTGAGCCACGACAACAAAAAATATATTTAGCGGTGTTTTGTCCATACGGCTCAGTGGGTTGTGCACATTTGTAATTGTGTGGCCTTTGGTTTCCAATTCCTTTTTAATTAGTGTTGTATCAGTGCTGGAGTGAAGCCCTTTGAACACGACTCTATATGGTTTGTCCTCCTTAAGCTGGTAGCAGTGGAACTCCAATTCCAGCTTAGTAAAGTGGTCTATAACTCTGCGATAGTCCTCACTGCATTGGGTTAATACACCTATGTTATTCTTCTTTGGCTTAATTACGTATGATTTAGCATCAATTACTTTATCTATTATCTGTTGAAGTAGGGCCACAGACTTGATGTTTGGACACCATATGGGGGGCGGACGAGGTTTCGGTGTAGTTTGCTGGTCGGTCAATACTGGGGCTTCTGGAGCTACAGGTGATTCGCTGTAGTCTTCATCTTCTTCTACGAGCAGTGAAAATCGATTTTCTGATATTAATGCTGCATTGCTGGTGCTTGGTTCGTCGAAGATGAGCCTTTTCTTGATGGTTTTTGGTGAATTTGGCTGTTTACGTTTCGTGTTTTTGTTGTTAGTGATGCCTTGCACGGAGGCGATATCTATTTTTGAGTTTATTGGCATGATGGAGGCTTGCCTATTTGCCATCACAACGTTAAGCTGGGCTTGCATTTCTGCATTTACCTTTACAGCTGTAGCGCGGTCATTGACATTAGATGTCATCGCGGATTGTGCTTTTGAGTGCAGGCGCACTCGCGCCAAGCGACGAAATTTCGTAAATTGCAATTAAAGCAATTGAGTTACGCGGAAGCAAGCGATAAGAAAACGCTGCGTGTGCGGTTTTTGTTGCTGTTGCGTTGAAGAATGCACCGCAAAGTTCTATTTTTAGAACTCTGCAGCAGTAGAGCTTAAGCGAAGGCTGTTCGAATTCACGTCTTTACAGGTCGAACGACTGATCGCGATTGAAAAAAAAAAAAAAAAAAAAAAAAAAAAAAAAAAAAAAAAATGACTGGTCGTGGTAAAGGTGGCAAAGGCTTGGGTAAAGGAGGTGCAAAGCGTCATCGCAAAGTGTTGCGTGATAATATCCAGGGTATCACGAAGCCAGCTATCCGTCGTTTAGCTCGTCGTGGTGGCGTGAAGCGAATCTCTGGACTTATCTATGAAGAAACTCGTGGCGTTCTTAAGGTCTTTTTGGAAAATGTTATTCGTGATGCTGTCACATACACCGAACACGCCAAGAGGAAGACAGTCACAGCCATGGATGTTGTCTATGCGCTGAAAAGGCAAGGTCGCACACTGTACGGCTTTGGCGGTTAGGAAAGAAGAAAGTATAAAAAGCAACTTACACTCGCACCAATCGGTCCTTTTCAGGACCACCAACATGTTTCCCTAAAAGAGCTTGAAAATATAAAATTCAATATACATTTTTTTTTTTTTTCGCAAACCAAATCGGTATTGGGCATATATTTAGCTGATGTTCAGTATTGGCTACGAAATGATCGAGAAATTGAATTAATTCCGTCTAGTTAAACCATTTGGTTTCGACATTTATGAAAAATTTGAAGCTATCAAAAAGAAGTATTGTGCATATTTCATATTCGAATAAGAATTCGATGTTACAGAAATCTTAGCTAAGCTGCGGTGAAAACTCGCGTGTATTTCAAGGGTACATTGCCAAATTTATAGTTTACATATCAGCAATATTAGCAATATTTCAGTTCAACATATTTGAAACCTTTGGAATATGGAACAGAAACACTAAATGACTAAATGAATGGCGATGACTGTACTTTTCTCAGCGTCTACCATCTGTAAATTTTCCCTTTATTTTTTCTTATTATATACATATTATTTAGAATGTTTACGTATGAAAAAAGTCATCTCTTTTGTATAAATTGGTCGTCCTGAAAAGGACGTTTGGTTTCGATTTGCGTAAATTCGTTATTAGTAATTTAAGCCTTCTTTTCGGTCTTCTTGGGCAACAAAACTGCTTGGATGTTAGGCAACACACCGCCCTGGGCAATAGTGACGCCTGAAAGCAGTTTATTCAACTCCTCATCGTTGCGGATGGCCAATTGCAGATGGCGAGGGATAATTCTGGTTTTCTTGTTATCGCGGGCTGCATTACCAGCCAACTCCAAAACTTCAGCGGCCAAGTATTCCATAACAGCCGCCAAGTACACTGGAGCACCGGCACCAACACGCTCGGCATAGTTGCCTTTGCGAAGAAGACGGTGAATACGACCAACGGGGAACTGAAGGCCAGCGCGGTTCGAACGCGACTTTGCCTTTCCCTTAACTTTTCCACCTTTACCACGGCCAGACATTTCTTAAATTCTTTTTTTTTCACTTTAACACTGCACAAACAAGTATCGAATGCCCAGCCCTCTCAACAATATGACAACTTATACTTTTTTCACTACCTACTTTTTCAGGTAAACGAGGGTGAGTTGTGCTGTGCGCAAACATGAAAACGTTGTACAAAAAAAACCTATAAATGTTAAGCAATTTGTGTGCTTCTGTCAAACATTTGTGAAGTGAGTTAAAGTGAACTTGAGTGAATAATAACAATCATGCCGCCTAAGACAAGTGGAAAGGCAGCCAAAAAGGCTGGCAAAGCCCAGAAGAATATTACCAAGAATGATAAGAAGAAGAAGCGTAAGAGGAAGGAAAGCTACGCCATCTACATTTACAAAGTGCTAAAGCAGGTCCATCCTGACACTGGAATCTCGTCAAAGGCCATGAGCATCATGAATAGCTTTGTGAACGACATTTTTGAGCGTATCGCTGCTGAAGCCTCTCGTTTGGCCCACTACAACAAACGTTCTACGATTACCAGTCGGGAAATCCAAACTGCAGTCCGTCTTCTGTTGCCCGGAGAGTTGGCCAAGCACGCTGTCAGTGAAGGAACAAAGGCAGTTACCAAGTACACTAGCTCCAAGTAAATCTTAGCTTGATGTATGCAGAACACCCAAAAGCAAAAGGCCCTTTTCAGGGCCACAAATCTTTTTTCAAAGAATATGAAATATTTCCATGCTAACAAAATTTCTGATTCTGATTCTGAATAGATTACCTTTAATTCTTATTGTATAAAACTTACTGAAGCAAATATATTTGCTTGCTATTCAAGAAAAACTATAAAATTATCGTTACTCCACAAATATCCCACTACAATTTCCTACGTTTTTATTATGATGAAGTTGGACACGTAAAAACTATTTGACGAAAACAGAAATTAACATCGAATATATTTCAAATATTGCTGCTGACTAAATAGGATCCGTTTCTTTTTATATTACTTTTAACAGCAACAAGAAAGATACAGGTAGAAAAATATTTTTTTTTCTCTTGGATATATAAAATTGTAGTCCTGAAAAGGACTTTGTTTAATAGCAAATTTCATAGTTTTGAAATTTGTTCATACTCTGTCTGAAGAGTATATTTCGATGTGAAATTACTTCTTTGTTGCAGACGCAGTTTTTGCCTTTGGCTTCTTGGCAGCAGCTTTTTTTGGCGACGCAGCCGCGACAACCTTCTTAGGCTTAGCACTGGTGGTCTTAGGTTTAGGAGTTTTTGGCTTTGCTGCGCTTGACTTTGCCTTTGCTGTTGTGGGCTTGGCTTTAATAGTACCAACTTTCTTTGCATCTTTGGCCTTCGCTTTTTCAGCTTTCTTCTTGTCAACACTCTTTTTGGTCACCACAGCCTTCGACAACTTCTTATCAGCGACTCCCTTTGGTTTCTTGGTAGCACATATAGTTTTCTTTTTAGCTGCTGCTGCCGACGAAGTTACCTTCTTGGATTTCTTCTCTACAGAGGACACCTTAGGCTTAGGCTCCTTTTTGGAAGATGCAGACAACTTAAACGAACCAGATGCACCCTTGCCCTTTGTTTGAATCAACTTTCCATTCGCAACTGAATTCTTCAGGTACTTCTTAATGAATGGGGCTAGTTTTTGGGCATCGCACTTGTAAGTGGCACTGATATATTTCTTTATAGCCAAAAGGGATGAGCCACCACGTTCCTTTAAATTTTGTATCGATGCATCCACCATCTGCTGAGTTGGTGGGTGTGTTGGAGGAGCCGTTGTTTTCTTTGCCTTCGATGCGGATGCGGATGCTGGCTTTTTAGCAGCTACCTTCTTCTCAGCTGAGGCTGTTTGGGGAGTCACGGGAGACGCAGATACTGCAACAACGGAATCAGACATTTTTATTCAGCACTTCTTTACTTCTTCACTATAAAAACAAATGCAACGTTTTTGTTTAATCGAAATTTGCCAGCTGCGGCATGGCATTTTGGTCACCCGTTTCAGTGAGAATCGAGGAGGAAGGCTACGCGAGAATGTTTTTGCTATTGAACGTTCGTTACACAGAAGTTTACAATTACCATTTTATTGATTTATCTTTTTGAACAATTTATACATGGAATTTAAACTAAATAGTTAATTGAACATATTCCAAAATGTTTGAAAAATTGAAAAAATAAGTTCTCAGTTTGTTAAATATGATTTAACGATTTTTAATTGCCATCTAAAGTTTGACATTGTATGATAGCAAAATAAGATATCTTGGAAAAATCGCATTTTTAATTAAATAATAATGAAAATGTTAACAAATTATGTTGACAGATAATAATTCATTAATTTTTTTGTCAAATTCAACTATTAATATGAACATTCCTTATATCTTTCTCTTTTAAATGCGATTTTAACTAACCCATTTGGTGTTGAAAGCAGACTTGCATTCGAGGCAACGCAATACAAAAATGGTTTGTAAAAATAAAATCTTCTCCTTAACAATAAATATATGTTAATAAAGATAATATTAGAAGAAAAATGTTTTATTCTCTTTACTTGCATCAAACATATAGTCATTTCATATCGTAATATTATATATATAATGCGATATACACTTCTCCCTCACCAAGAAATACAGTGATAAAATATTTTTTCATCTAAGCCACTTTATTTTATTAAGAAGAATGCTAAAATGTTTAAAAACTAATATAGTTTTATCTTCAATAGGAAGTGCTTATAAAAATAAAAGGAAAATCTCAGAAAAGAAATATATTATCTTAAGTTACATCAAACGTATCACACATTAACGATACGTTCACATTCGATATTCGCTTTAAAAATACACATTTTTTTGTTAAGCAAGAAACGTTTACCTTTAACAAAAATATATTGAGATCCTTACTCAATTACTTGACTAGGACTAGGACTAGTTAGTGACATTTGCTCTAACCTACATTTTATTATGTAAATATAAACCTATATACTCGTTTCCTTTATTTTTATATCAACTCAAATTCAAAATGATTGTCGTTTAAACGAAAATAGGAATCTCCTTGTTATAAATATTGTGGTCCTGAAAAGGACCGATTTGTATATGTACAAGGCAGAGAGAAGAAATTTAAGCGCGCTCGCCGCGAATACGTCTGGCCAGTTGAATGTCCTTGGGCATGATTGTGACACGCTTAGCATGGATGGCACACAAGTTTGTATCTTCGAATAGGCCAACCAAATAGGCTTCGCTAGCTTCCTGGAGTGCCATCACAGCTGAGCTCTGGAAACGAAGGTCAGTCTTGAAGTCTTGAGCGATTTCACGCACTAGACGCTGGAACGGCAACTTGCGAATAAGCAATTCAGTGCTCTTCTGGTAGCGACGAATTTCACGCAGAGCAACAGTGCCAGGGCGATAGCGATGAGGTTTCTTGACACCGCCAGTAGCTGGTGCACTTTTACGTGCTGCCTTAGTGGCCAACTGCTTGCGAGGAGCCTTGCCTCCAGTTGATTTGCGAGCGGTCTGCTTTGTACGAGCCATTTTTTTCTCTCTTTCACAATTCTTACTTTACACTGTCACTGTTAAAAACACAATAATCGAGATGCTCGCTTACGCATCGCTTATATAGAAAACTGGTGGTGAGTTAGAAAGAGATAGACATATTCGTTACTCATGTTAAATGCTATGCGCTCTACTCTACAAGTTGAGAGGGTAGTGTGTGAGAGGGATGCAAGCATTTGTGTGCTCCCTCGTGTTTTCGGGTTTCTCGGTATAAATAGAAGTGGATGTAACGATGCAGACATTAGTTTGTTTCTGACATTCGTGAAGTGTTCATTAAAAAGTAAAAAGTGAAAAATGACTGGTCGTGGTAAAGGTGGCAAAGGCTTGGGTAAAGGAGGTGCAAAGCGTCATCGCAAAGTGTTGCGTGATAATATCCAGGGTATCACGAAGCCAGCTATCCGTCGTTTAGCTCGTCGTGGTGGCGTGAAGCGAATCTCTGGACTTATCTATGAAGAAACTCGTGGCGTTCTTAAGGTCTTTTTGGAAAATGTTATTCGTGATGCTGTCACATACACCGAACACGCCAAGA